CCTAGACACAGAGATGACAGAACAGCACCACCTAGTTCTCGCTATGAAACTTTCCGGATACGGAAGTCCGTCTCTGACTAAGTTTTAAAAACGGAATATAGTTTTCTTCCAGATAACTCATGTCATGTAAAATGACACTCCTGGAACTACTACCTGCAGCACCGGATTTGCTGGAATGACTTTCATTTCAAAGTTTACTTCTAAATTGGAAAAAAGGAAAATTAAATGTAGTGTTTGAGCTGAGGTTTTCGAACTGTTTATGATGCTGCTGTGCACAATCCAGATAAGCAATTCTCTGAGTACAGAACGTGTACATGCTAACCCATCACCAGTATGACTTCTATAGTACTCATAAAAAGAAATTGAACAGAATTACCTTATCGTCTACAACATGTCATATCATGTGATCCCATTGGCCAAATAAAAAATAACACCAGACAATATCCTACAATTTGTTGGAAATACAACATCATGCCGATCATGGGATGATTGCCACCGCTCACTGCCCCTGGGTGGATTCCGACTCATAGCGTCCCCAAGAGGCCTTTGGAGGCTGTGCATCTTTACAACCGCAGCCTCCTCCAGCTCGGGGCTCGGTGCCTTTAGAACGGCTCACCGTGCTGTCAGCAGTGCAGCTTACCGGACCGTGCCTCCAGATTACTCAAGAAAGTAATATAAAGACATCAATATTTGCAGCCATCGCATTTGAGTTTATATTTTCTCCCTACCATTTAAAAAGATTGAATATAAAATTAATTTTCGCTCAACATTCTTAAAGGCCTTCCTCATAAATGCCCCCGCTTCACTTTGCCGAGTTGGGAGTGACTGTTAAGTAGGTGGAGGAGGCTAGAGACGTGAGGTGCACTGAGTGGTGCTGTCCCAGAGGGTTTTTTCAACGCAGTGAGCTTTTTGAATGGGATCGCCAGGCCTGTCTTCCTAGAGTCCTCTGGGTAGAGCTTGTAAGTGTTTACAACACCCAGGTTCGCCTGGTTTTGCTTACTAGATGGTTAATATTTCAATCACATTCAAGACAGATTGAGAGGGAGGAAAGGTTCCAGAGCAACATTGACTTGGCACTCTTGAGAAGTCATGTCCAAATAGTACAGGTTTTAATCAGGCACGATGCATTGTAATATAAGCGAGGGACGGAGTTTTAATATATATGACATAGTACAAGGAGCATTGTTTCTAGATAGGACATTTAAAAAATGTTTTCCCTGAGGCATCAGCAGCTCTTTAAATGACTGTCACTGGTAACATCAGAATTGCTCAAGCAGAACTCCAGCTCTGGAAAAAAGCCTAAGTAGTGTTGCTTGTTACATAGATCCGTCTCACAGACCTCTTCTCCCTTACATTCCCTCAGCTGACCTGGTCAGCTACGGTTCTGGCCCGCTGAGCCTTTATGAAATTAAATGAATCATCCTCTTGAACAAATCAGTTAGAAAAGAGCATGCTTGAATATTTCTTGTTCACTTGTCAGCTTTTTTTCAAGTTGTATTAATGAAAAAAGAAAGAAAGAAAGAAACTGGCATCATACTGAGAATGTTCTTAGGATAAAGGGTTGGAGGACATGAAAGCTCTTTAATCCAACCTTAAATAAGAAACGCTAAACCCAGTGAGGTTGATAGCATTGTTGTTAAATTAGTGATTTCATATGATCACCGACATAGCCACATTCTGTTGCCTTTGGAAATATATTGCACCAAGAATAGAATTATCTTTCTTTTCCTGAAAAGAAAATAATAAAGTTACTGTGTGCTTTCATTTGAGTGTTTATCATGTTTCCACTACTGAAATATAAACTCCATAAGGGCAGCTACTGTCTGTATATTGTTCACTTGCACACAGTGACTGTCTGTATATTGTTCACTTGTACACAGTGACTGTCTCTATATTGTTCCCAGCAATTACAGCCCTGCCTTCAAATAAATATTGGCTGAATGGATGAAAGTATAAATACGTTATGCATTACAACACAAAACACCATGAAGAAAATAATAGAAAAATATAAACACACACACACTTGTTTAATTCCCAGAAAAATGAAATAAAACTTAACATTCAGAAACCTAATTCAGTCCACTTCCTAGCAATAAAAGTGACTTTAATAGTGCAATAATTTATTAATTTTCAGGCTTGATCTATGTGTGTAATTTCTTGAGTGAAGAATGTATGAACTTAACTCAGGCTGATAGTTACAAAAGCAATTTATAAAAATCACTTAACAGAGTAGGAAAAACTCTGAATTTATATAGGTACATTTATCAGGATAAAAATCTGTTTACATGTATAAAAATGTTAAGTAGTGAATACTGTGTGTTATAGATACCAAGAATTCAATTGCATTAAAATATATGTTAAGAATGTGCAGTATCTATGAGACTGACCATGTTATAAAACAGCCTGAGGTGTAAAGTGACAAAGTATTTCTGCAGGATGCAATCATTCACAAAGCAATTCCATGGCACATCATGAGAGAACGATGGGATTCCAACCCCTCAATCTATAGATAAGAAATGAAGTTTCAAGAGAAGTAACTTACTCAAAACCCCAATCCAAGGAAAAGACTTGGCTTGAGTGAATATGTGGGCCCCCTGATTCCTACCATTATATCCAGTCTGTTGCACAGTACTTCCAAAACCCAAAGTCTTAATTAGTCCAACATTATCACTTCCCGCTGTAAAACGGAGAACTCTAAGTACAGAATAGAGGACCCTCACCACCACTGCCATGCTCACTGGAGTTTGGTCATAGCTGCTTCTGATTGGCCACTTAGGGGTCAAGGTATCGATGGATACTGTTGCTCTGTTCTTCTCAAGCAAGTCATTCCCGTTCTCTCTCATGTTGTACTTTGCTGCTATGATGCTCTTAATGGAAACTATCACTAATGCCTGACCCACTTTAACATTTACAGTCAAATCATCATTAAACAAGAAAAACATGAATCTTCCCAATTTTATACCCATTAAATAACTTATTTTTATTATAAAATATCCATTATGTTGTCTTAGCCTTCATTAGGAATCTCTTCCACATTGTTGATAGTCTATACTGGTACAATAAAAAAACTGGGTAAAACAAAGCAAACATGTTAAGTAAATCTGACTTTAGGGACCTCCAACAGACCTCTAGGAACTATGCAATTCTTATCTCTCTAGCAATACCTTTATCTTCCGTATTCTATGGAAGTTAAATGATACGGAGATGTGCAGCTTCACACACTATTAGTCTTGTCCTGCCCACAGCATTTCTGTGCTTAAAATAAAATAAAATAAAGGCAAGCCAGCGGACATGACAGTATCTGCTTTATATTTTACTTGAACTTTAAAAAGTGTTTGTAAAACTTATTGAATGAACTGCTTTTTTCATGCCAGCTAGCATTAAGTGTTTCTCTAAAGAGAGCATCTTTAGTACAGTGCTTTTGGACTCTGGATAAGAATATTTGTCTGAGATATTCTAACAGTTAAAGCAGCAGATATGATCTTATGTGTTTTATGTTAAACTGATAATTACCTGTGTGGATAATCAGGACTTGAAGTGCTGCAAAATGTAAAGATGCTAATCTTCCTTACATTTCCAGTGTTTCTGAGACAATGTTATCTTTAGAATATTAAAATATACATCATATCAAATTCTAGGATTTCTAGATATATCCTCAAATAACAAAATTTAGTAACATATTAGAATGCTTTTTCTGAAATAGCTGAAAACTGAAATAGCAACAAAAAGTTCTTCCTAATAAACTATTCAAAGGATTTAGGTAAGTAGATTAGCAAGGACCAAGCAGCAGTACTTTTAAAAGTGGTTATTATACTTTGGCTATGGATCCTAGAGATATTCCAAATTTAGAGTAAAATGAGAATTTAAGTGCTAATAAAAGAATCTCATATCACCTCAATAAAGTAGTGTTCAGACTTAATAAATTGAACATGTTTATTCTACTTTGGCCATTTATTTACTGAATGACTATTTTTATATTGGAATGACAGAGTGATTTCAGAAACTGGTATCAGATAAATCTTAAAAGTGAGTCTACTTAATAATATCCTTTCAAATACTAAGAGTCATGGAGCAGTCAAGAATCCAAAGGACATCAGTGAAATTGATTTTTTAAATGTGAAGAAAAACTGTATGTCTTTTTTAAAAAGCTACATTTCACTGGGACTTTTTAGAAAAGGCATTCTTAAAACACTTCATGTGGGGATATCGTCATTCCAATTACAGAAAGACTTTTTCTCCCTCGGTGTTCAAATCCCAGTCACTGTATTTAAATTCTCTTCAAAAAGCACTTAAAATTCCCATCTTACCTCCCTCAGTCTTTCGAAATTCAAAAAAGGGAAGGAAATAAATCAAATTCAACTATAGAAAATGTGTCCGCAATTGCAGAAGAATGGCTGAACAGTAAGAAAATATCACCAAGTATTAGAATTTAATTTAAAAAGATATTTTAAATAAACCCAATGGAATCTCCCCCCAACTAATTGAGAGAATGTACAGAATGAAATCTGTATTGTAGAGACTGTTCAGAGATCCTCTGCTCTGCAGCTTGGCACTACCAAAAGCAGGTCAGCCCACACTGATAATCCGGCAGATCAAGGTCAGTTTGCAATTCCTCTTTGCTTATACATGTCTCTGGAAAAGCCAGTTACTCCTGTTGAACAGAAGGATTATTTGGCATAGCGTTTAACCCACATTATCTGGAGGAACATTTGGGGAACTCGTGTTAAAGAATGTGTAGTACCTGATATACTAGAGTATATGCCAACCCGAATATCAGCTGAGGCACCTGATTTTTTTTTTTTTTGGTATGCAAGAGAATTTATTTAGTTTTGTGAGGTTTGCTTTTGCAACAATACATACCCTTGGCACAGAAGACCTTACTGAATTTTCATAAATGATCTAAAATTAAATATTTACGTTGATGTTATGAGACTTATAAAAGTTTGAGAAAGTTTCTAGGTTTAGGATTTGCATACATGATCACATCAAAAAGAAAACAATCTACGGACAAGATTTTTTAATAGTCCTCAAAATATAATAAATTACAACTTATAATCACACATTTATTCCTATTCTATATTCACTTTATTTTCCAGTTTAAACTCTCTGACATTTTTCTGAGTATGCTACAAATAATACATTTGTGTTGACCTCCCATTTCAATGCCACAGAGTCACCTGCTGTCACCCTGGCTCGGTGCTGACCCGTTAGAGGAGGATGAACTTACTCAGCCAGCTAGATAGAGTCAGTAAACTTGTGAACAAAAAATGTCAAGAGAATTCAAAACATTAATCGAGTCATAATTCCAGTATTTTTATCTATTTTCAGAAAAATTCCTTTTCGACAGCAGCAATTCTGCTTGGTAAATTCTTTCCTTTCTAAACTGAAACCCAAAGAAAAGGGAAATTATAAGAAAGCTCTGAAAAAGTTTACTGGACATTGTGTGCTTTTAATAGTTCAACACCGGTAATTCTTGTTAATCAAGAGTAAATTGATAGGCTAACCTTTAAAAATGCATAATACGTATAAAGTATATAAACAATTTGGTGAGCTTGTGGAGAAGCTGACCCAGATCCATAAGTTAGAATATATAACTGTCCGTCTAAATTTTCTTTTTTTTTTTTTTACAGGATACACTTCATTAAAGTTGCTTAATGTACCATTTCTCATTTTGGAAGTCCTTTATTGTAAAGATAATTCTTTTGTCTGAGGACAAACAGCAGCCACACGGCCAGTGATTATTCTGGACCTCCACGTTGGATAAACTCGATTTCTTCTTGAGACACGGGTTTCCGTCTGTATTTCTGAGGTAATGTTTTGATTATTTCTGCAGTGTCTGGTGGGCCCTGCTGCATCAACGAATCTGGTGCTTTACTTCCCATAGAGTGCTGTGACATTACAGAAGAGGGCGGTGGTATGCCTGATGATCTCAAAGCTTCCGGTACATTGAGTTTAGGGTTGTCAGTTCTATCAGGGAATCTTATTAGTGGTGTATGTGGCTTGACTACCTGAACGACCCTGCTGGCGGACGCCATCTTGCTGCCCATCACGACCCCCTCAGTTGAGGCACCTGATTTTACCACAAAACTGCATAAACAATGTGCTGACAAAACTCAGCTTATACACAAGTATATACGGTACATAGAAATAAAGAGAAAGGGCTCTGATGTCCAGAGAAAACAGGACGATTCAAAGCTTTGAGACACAAATGCTTAGAGGGCATATTTGAACTGACAACTCTGGTTGAAAGTAATGAGTCTGTGAGGCTGTGTTTTTGTGAAGTACAACTTTATTCAGACTTGTTTGTGTTTCTTATTTCCATTGGCCCTATTACTCCACATTAAATAAAAATGAAAATCCACAGCAAATATTTGTTCTATTCAAAGTACCCTATTGGCATTTTGGCAATTATAATGTAAATACTTTCATATTATTTGGATCTAATTAAAGAATAGTGTCAAGATTAAACGTATTGGAAGAGAACTAATCAGTGAATGGAAAAGTTAAAAAAAAAAAAGCCTGCTCCAGGCATTCCATTATTAAGCACTTGAAATCAAATGAAGATAAAGATTTTGATGCTGTTCTTCAGAGGTCTATATTCCACTAGAGGAGATAGTTAGATAAATGCATAACCCTTAAACATGAGGTGCGAGAAACACATGGAGGTGTTCCATAGATCAGAGCAAAATAAAATGTAGAGTTCTTTCATAAACTAAGAAGACAAAATAATCAATCAAGGTCAGATGACATTCCCTTGTCTGCCTAATCAACCACTCCAGGCTCGGTTGTAAAATCATCATTTTTCAAAACTCCAAAGAGTTCTGATAGACGGACAGCGGTGTTGCAACAATGGGCTCAGGCATGTGCATGATTGCGGGGGTAGTGCAGGGCCGGGCAATGCGTATAGTTGGATGGTCATCGGTGGGATGAGTGGGATGAGTCATGGGTGGGAACCACATCGATGTCACCAAGAAAAATGACAGCAATGAGGATTGCTGGGCATGGTCAGTACTTTTTAAGCTCCCATGATTAACCATAGGAAAGAGTTACTGTCCAGGAAAATCTTACGGGGCACTTCTATAGGGTTGCTATGGGTCGGCATTGACTCAATGGAAGTGAGTTTCGTTGATTTATTAAGAAAAATAATGTTTTAAAATAGCAGTTGTACAAAATCATTGTACATTAGTATTTTGTTAAAATACTAATTAGAATATTTAACATATCAATTTAGAAAACATTTTCAGTAAAAATCATATCAGTTAAATAAAATGTGAAGAAAAAATAAAACCCAAGGGGAAGCTATTTAAATTAAACCATTTTTTTCTGATGGCATAAGACAGAGACTGCATCCAAATCAAGGGGAGTAATGAACATAGGTGCACTTTTAGAGGATGTAGAAAAATATCCTCTATATAAATGGTGACATGTACGAAGGGAGCCAAGTCTTGTAGCTTTCAGTCCACATAAAAGAAATCCCTTTGAAAAAAAGGGACTATTTTTCCCTCCTTTTAAAATTTTGTTTGAGTTCCATGTTCCTCTTTATTTTCACGGCTGTCCAAATTATTTCCAAACCCAAAAGTGAAAGTCAATGTTTTAAATTGGTAATGCTTTAACATTGGCTGCCCATGAAGACTGTCGGCAATTACTATTGCCCATAAATGTAGAGTCTCAAAAAAGAACCACCACACCCTCAAGATGCCATCATAGCAAAATGTGTTACTGGAGTAGTTAAGGAATGGAGGACTGATAAAGAAACAATTTCCAACTCCAAGTTTTGTTTGGCAAAGTAAAATAAACTATCCTATTGAGGAATACGCATTTTCACTCATTATTGGATTTCACTCCCAGAGCAAAGATCTATTGTGGAATAACAGATACCGTATTATGCATCACCATGGTGAAGTTCATTCTGCCTTGGCAGGGTAAGTAGTAAGGGGAGATTGTGAGTAACTGCTTGCTACACTGGAGTCATGGATGTATAATCGCCTTCAGAAGCATCCTTCTCTGAATACCACCTACACATTAATACATGGCAGTGGACTTACAGCCAGACCCCTGTTCTGCCCCACACGATCCCTGAAAAGGCTTTGAAATGAGGACACGTGCATAATGGAGGCACGCTGAATATCCCAGTACATGTAACAAACTAGAGCATTATGAATCCTTAGGGGGACCTCATAGGACTAAAACATTTTCTAAAGAAAGCTGTACATGAGAAAAGGAGCCTAAAATGTTAATTAGATCCTCTTCGTGAAAGCTACAGAAAAGTTGATGCTCGAATTCTGAAGTTGGATACAGAAAGGAACATTTGTATAAAGGCTGAAGGGGGCGGGGAAGGAGTTTGATATAAAAGCCCCTCCATTGACAATTTATGCAATCTGTGAAAAGACAAATAAAAGGAAATAAAAATATAACAGTGGGAGAATTCGAGTCCACCTGAAAGGGTTAAGAAGGAGAACTGATTTTGTATTAGGAAGGGATTAAGTCACAACAGAGGGAAATACTCAGCCTAGCATATGCTAATTTTGTCGGCTTTGCAGGCTTTTCTGCGAGTCTTTGGCTGGCTGACTCACATTCCTTCCCTCAGCTTTTTGCCCATTTTTATTATGAGAGGAAGGAGGTTGAACTCTCAAGCAACGCAGTAATAACAAGTAAAAGCACATTGGATGTGCTTTATCCCTGCTAAAACCTTGGGGTCCATACTGAGGGCACTGAAAGGAACACACACACAATCTATGGGTATTCACTATCTGTCCTTCAGCCAAACTCCTGGCAGCACTCATATTCATTCCCCATGAATTTCTTTTAATGGGCCTTTCCTCTTGGTTGCCTGGAGGGGTGGGGGCGAGAGGGTACATTATGTTCCTGGAGAGTAGAAAGGAAGCCGCACTCCTCTTACAACTTCAGCACATAAAATAGAGTCCCTTCTAGGAAGTACAATGGAATAAGAAGCTTATTGTACACTTTATTTGCTTCTCAGTTCAAGTATCGTATCTTGTAAGGCTTGGCCTCTCATGGCAGTGGAATTCCACTCTTGAAGATGGAAAAGCAGAGGACGTACAGGCTCCGAGGACGAGAGGAATATATAAGTGTTATGAATCTTTTCACTGGGTGGGGGTATATGGGAAAAACTCATATAAAACACAAACATATTAAGAAAGTAGATGTTACACACTATAAATTTTAGGCCTTGAGGTTTAAATAAGCATGATGGAAGGCCCTTGCATTTTTAAATGTAAACATTGTTAGCCAAAGAGCTAAAAATATTTCTTGACAAGAACAAATTAATTGGCTTTATAAATTACACTGAATCAATATAACAGCTATACACTTAGCAGTCCGCAGCACCTCCTTGTCAGGAAAGGTGCTTTCTCCCCGGTGCCCAAGGACGACTTCAGATACACTGTTATTGTAAATTAACCATAGTAACAGATACAAAACTATTTGGTAGTGAATTAGGCTTATAAAAGAAATTTGTCTTCTTATAATGCGATTATTATTTTATATAATAATGTACATTATTTGATCAGACGTGACTTCAAGATTTTATTTTCCTCACAGCAAAAACAAACTATAACAAAAATGGCTCAATTTCTTAGCAATCCTAATGATGTCAGTATCGAACTCCAAGAATAACTCTTCAACGATGACTAAATGGGAGCTTTCTCTCCAGCAGTGAAATGGCTGAAAGATCATTTAAATATTCAAGATGAAACTATTTGCTGACTCAGAAAGTATCTCGTTATGTTGAATAATATCTGTTGTAATGTTTACTTCAAAGATCTGTAAAATACAGTGTAAATAATTAATGGCCAGCTCCCCTGATGGCAGATCTTTCTACAGCCTCCACCCTCTGTCTATTCAGTGAGCAGGCAGGTTCTCATCATCCAGCTTCCTAAACACAAAGGAAAATCCAGAATGAGTGCAGAGTGCTATTTCAAGTTCAGAAATTGTAAGCCGTGTGTGTGTGTGTGTGTGTGTGTGTGTGTGTGTGTGTGTGTATGAGAGAGAGAGAGAGAGAGACAGAGTTAGTTATTGCTAACTAAGAAAACTTATTTAAAAACTATTTTTAACCTTTATAAAAAGAGTTACGGACAACAGAATGCAAAAAAAACCCCAAAACTCTTCTTCCCCTTACACTTTACACTTAAAAGATCATACCCTGATGACTTACCAAATGAATAAAAATGACCTTCAGTTCTAAAATGTGTGCACAATATATTGAACATAGGTGCACAAATAGACTATCTCTCCAGCAATATTTTAATAAAGATAAATGGCTAAGTAAAACTCCCTTTCTCGGTGATTACATCTCTGATTTTACCATTAATGCTAACTACTACCTAATTAACCAGAGGATTCTCTCTTTTAAAGTATACTACAACATTTTAAGATGAAAACAATTTCATATTTGATAAAGGAACCCCCTGACACATTAACATGACCGAATGGGCTCATGTCTTGAATAAATATCAATATGTATACAAAGTTCAATTATTTTGTTCTGTAACTAGCTGCACTAGTTATTGATATGCTTCTCTGCACAACATTTTCTCCCAAACTCTTCCTTTTTTAAAGGGGGCTGTCTAATGATTTTCCCTCTGTAATGAATTATATTGTTCAGAGAGGATGTAGTCTTTCCTGATTTGGCATAGCACAAATCCCACTTATTCTAGCTAATTGTCAAATGGCACTAAAGAATCTAAGCATACACTACACAGTTCATTCCTATTTCACTGAAAGTGAATGTCTCCTCCTAATACAGGAGATACTTTGGTAAGAAAGAGACCAAGAGGCTGACTTTTTACTCACTAACGCAAAAGAAAGGGGACCAGAATAGTTTCCTTCCTCCTGATCATTAGGGCCAACACGTATAAACTACTGAATAGAAAGCCCATTTTAACCTTGCTACCCATCTTCATTAAACTGGCCATTCTTTTCTCATTGTTTGCATGAAAAGAAAATATTTACGATTCACTTGCTAAAAATCCTAATCATTGTCTTAGGGTTTATGTACTGCATCACTGTCCAAAGTAGATATTTTCTTTTATGCTG